TTTGTGTCTGCCTTTTGAGATGAGTTCTGATCCTTTATTTAGTAGTTTGTTTTGGTCTGGGAAGGTAATTAGAGTTATTTTTCACCAGAGATTTTTACACTTTTGGATTGATTATTGTAGGTTGATATTGTTTTCCTTATTTTTCATGATAATATATATATATATATATATATATATATATATATATCGTGCGGGTGCATGAGTGCAGGCAGTGAACAGCATTTCTTTATAATTATTATGGATTCGTATTTCCTTAACATGTCTTTATGAATTCAGATCTTTTGTTCAGGCTTGCAGAAAGCTGTTTACGTCATAAAATGGCAGTATTTGACCACTGCTGCTTGACGGATTTCCAGGTTTGATTTGCATTTGTAATTTTCCTTCCAATTATTCTGTGCACTAAATTGACCGATACTTGCTTTAAATTTAAAAAGGTCAAGTCAAGTGCCGTACGTGATACACGCCTGGGTGATCAGGTCCCTTTCGATTCATGACTAACTTGGCATAGAATTTTCCCGCAGTCGGCTGCCGCTTCTTTCTGCGGTAGTCTGATTGTCAACCAAAGAACCCGTCTTTGCTGCTATTCAACCTATAGCCGTGGTGAAGCGGGGAGAAACGTATTTGTGCGTAAGTGAATGTAACGAACCCGACCAGAATTCGAACTTGGCTCTCCGATTTCTCATTCAGAGCCGTTATTCATTACACCACCTGTATATCCGCGATCATGAGATGCTTCCTTTATGGAATTTACATTTAGATTCTGATATGGCAAGTTCGACATTTTTTATTGTCTTGTCTTCTAACCAGTTCTTTACTGGTTTTGAAGTATAGACAAGTGAATCATTTTGGTGAAAATGAATATTCTTGCGTTGTCTTCGAAGAAACGTTTGGATGCTAAGAAGTGAGGAAGCAATACCTTACATAAATTTTTTTTGGTACAGCTTCGAATTTAGATTGGCCACATCAACTGCCAAAACTGCACGCGAGATCCCAATGCCATCACACTTTAGAATTTGCGACATGCTGTTGGGATTGAACAGTTCATCAGATCTATAAATATAACGTTCAAGAACATCACTCTAAACTTAAAATTTGGACTCGTTGCTTCTCAGCAGTATCACAAACCAGTCTAAAATACAACTCTCATGCTCGGCCAAAAAATCTTCTTTTTCTTTAAGTACCGTATCTCTGAAAAATTTTGTTCGTCCAAGCTCTCCACAACTTCCTACAACTCTAAACAGTATTTGTCCCCTTGATATTCCTCTCAGTTCACCTTCTGCCGCCCACTTACACAAGGTCGTTAATTGGGTTACGTAAAGTTTCCTCCTGTCTCTCTCGTCTTCCTCATGTCCCGTCAGCGTCAACATATCCTCGATATCTTTCCTAATTATATGTCTCAGAAATGTCAACGAAATCGTTCTGATTCTAGGTATAAGTGTTCTTTTCATTTCTATTTCCCTTAAAATGTTCTTTTTGCTAACACGATCCTTCCATACTATTCTTCTGTAGGATCACATCTCTGTAAAATCAAGCAAGTATATAAACTGAAATACGGAAGATTTGACACAGAAATCCAAGGTGGAGGGGTACTGAGATAACAAAAGAAGCCTTCTAAAAGCTAAACAAAGTATTGAGAAATAAGAAAACTTCGTTAGAAACAAAGAAAATGGTGCCTAAGTGTCATGTAATATCGATCCTCCTGACAGTGAATATTGAGCAATTTTCTCAGAGAGCAACTACTACTACTACTACTACTACTACTACTACTACGTCAGTGCACCACGGCTTAGAATTACTGTTACTTCTGTATAATACAGCTTATTTGTTGTTTGTTTTGTTTTACGGCATATCAACCTCAATGGGTTATTTAATGCCGACAAAATGTTCATTGTTGGTAATATTTTTTTTCCAAAAATCTATTTCTGGTAAGAATTTTCCTTCACTGGTAATATTTTTTTTTCAAAAAATGTATTCCTGGTTATATTTGTTTTTCAAAAATGTATTCCTGGTAACAATTTTTTTACAAATTATTTCTGGTATTAAAATCTATTTTTACATTTTTCATAGTGTTTTGACCCGAGTTTGGGGGTTAACTATTTGCCCATAGCTAGGACCCTAACAAGTTCTACCACAGGTAGACCTGGGAACACTAGCAATTAAGAGGTGGTTCCATGCTCCTCAAAACCTCCTGATCAGAGGCCTTGTTGTTGGACGTAGTTTATCGTCTTACCTAGGATGCGGATGTAGTTTATCGTCATACCCAGGGCGGATAACACAGCTTAGACTATAAACACAGAAAAATATACTAACAAGGAATATATATGACAATATTCACGACGAACAATTTCTATATTCTCTTCGTCTTCATAGAAGAAAAAAATGTAAGGACACTAGATAACTGAGTAAAAACTGATAAAACTTACCTTGTCCGTCACAGTGAAAGAAACACGCATAAAAGAAAGTTTTTTGCCTAAATATAAAATATATATATATATTTCTT